TAAGTAGTAGTAGCAGCAGCAGCAGCAGCAGCAGGAGGAGGAGGAGTAGTAGTAGCAGCAGCAGCAGCAGTAGCAGTAGTAGGAGTAGTAGTAGTAGTAGTAGTAGTAGTAGTAGTAGTAGTATAAGTAGTAAGTAGTAGTATAAGTAGTAAGTAGTAGTATAAGTAGTAGTATAAGTAGTAAGTAGTATCAGTAGTAAGTAGTAGTAGTAGTAGTAGTATGAGTATGTGTATTCATGTCATATTGTTGTTATGTTTTTGAAGGTTCTCGAAGCCTCGGCCTCCAAGTCTAAACTCGAAAATTTGAGCCAGTAGTAGATACCGTCTAATCCGACGTGAGAGGGCACCTATTATACTATAGCTCGTTATAGTATAGCAATAGTAGATTCAGTATGCTATAGTACTATAGTATACTATAGTATGTTATAGTATCCGAATGTGGGATGTCGCTTGTAGAACCCGTAGCCGTAGCCAAAAGCATGCTGACCCAGTCCTATGTGTGTGAAGGGAAACTTGGACAACTCTATCCAACCCTATCAGCAGTGCAACTCTCCCACTTGTTGCAGCCGAGCCGCCTTAGTGTAAAGGCATACTCCTGGTTTTAGAAAGATAAGGAGAAACAAGAAGCGGCAACGCGCTACAAGGTACTATGGAACCCCTTCACAGCCCCGACGGAACCTTCAATTACTGGGTAAGTTTGGCGCTCTGGGGTTGACGTTCTAGGCCGAAGCCCCTGCGACGTGAAACCATAAACACTAAACCCGAAAAGGTCATTCCCGAAGCTGGAATCAGCAGATTTCACTGTGAAGTTCAGCTCCTTGGCTTTCCGGGTGTAGGTAGGGTTTGCCGTGGAATAGGGCGCAGGTATGACGATGAGCTGTGAAGGCTGTCTACGGTTTTTCGTTTTTTCTCTTCCACGCCGTTTAAAGGCGGCATTTATGGGCAGGGCAGGGCAGGGCAGGGCAGGGCAGGGGCGCAGGGGCACGGGGGCAGGGCTGGCACGGCACCCAGACCGAGGAGCCGGAGAAACTTTGCAGTCCTAACAGTTATAACATTTTGACACAGCAACGACTCGAAGGCAGACTCTCGCCAAGCTCCACCATGTTTACACAACGAGCAGTGCGTCGCAAAAGTCTTCAAGTACAAGTGCAAGCCAAGAAAATGGTCACTTCACGACAGGCATTCCTTGAAAAGTACCAAGGAGTAGCGGTTGAAGTGATGGGCACGAAGAAGCGTGGCCAGGACAATTGCACATTCACAGAAGTGCCGATGGAGGCATTTATGCAGCATGCAGAAAACATGTTCCGCACATTGATCACAGGCTTGAGGAAGAGGACGACAGATGAAGCAAAGGAGCAGGAAAAGCGTGCAGAGAAAGAAAGGAAAACTGAGGATGACATGTACAAGAAGGAACCTGCAGTGTTACTCAAAGATCTGGTAGGTGAGCTCGTTCAGCAGGACATGGCCGAAGCGAGACCCATGGAGACAGAAGCCACAGAAGACCCGCGGGCGAAGAAGGTCGATGAGTTTGCGCAGGCGTTATCAGGCGTTGCAACAGCCAAAAACCGACGATGCTTCAGGCGAAGGCGCGGGGTATCAGAAACGGCACAGGCGCAACCCAAGACTTATACTCTTCGGAATCCTGCGCGCACTTTCTGGCACGTTAACCAGTACTATCATACTACCGCACTTGGCAACCACAGGCCCACCAGAGCTGGCCGAGCACCCGGCGGAACGCGAAAGCGTAAGGATGACCAACTGGTGATTGCAAAGATGTCACCCGTCAGTCAGCTTTTCCTTGATGTCATGCAAAGCGCTACAGCCCAAGACTGGATGTGGCTTCTCAAATTCGATGTGCTACGCAACCTAGTACGCGGTGCCACAAGAGATACCTTTGGTGCAATAGCCTTGCGGGTTTATCGCGGAATGCAGAAGATCTATCCCAATGGAGAAACAAAGCTGGTTGGGCGTGGTTTTCCGAAACACACCCTTTAAGGGGTAGGGTTTCAAACCAGTGCGGCGGCCTGCACAGTGAAGCTCCCCAACGATCACAGGCGTGGATGTTTGCGATGCACAGAAGAATCATTGTCTCGTTACAGCACGACATTAGTTGGGCCTACAGTGAGTGAAGCATTCTCAGACTTGGCTTTGTCTGTGGTTCCTACAGACAAAGACGGCGGATATGCGATTTTTGAGTGCAACATGCATGTGGTGCACGAGAAGACCCCATCCAGTGGTGCCTATACCTTCACCGTCTGTCGTGGAGTTGGTTGGGCCACGTTGAAGCGCTATCATGGCTTACAATGCAAAGCAGTCGACAAGGCCTGTGGAGAACACGGGCACTCAGAACACCAACTGTTGAGATCAACGCAGAAGCCAGAATCCAGAATTACGTGCAGGGCAGTTCTGTGAAATCCCACAAACCAGAGGGTCTGGTGAAATGCAGGAGCCTCCCGGAAGGTGCCCGCAGGATTGAGGACTTTTTTTAAGTGGTCCAGTGGAAGATTTGGACAGCAAAGCAATCGATCCTTATGACCCGGCGGTGTAGGCAAAGGACATTCCGTAATGCACTGACTTTCCTACTCAGCCACCAGTACGTCTTCAGTGACTTGATCCAGGAGCGCACTTACACAGTGGTCAAAGGTAGTGGAATGGCTCGGCACCACAGTGGAGTAGTTGAAGATGCTAGATTTTTGACGGTGTTCGAACATGACTTTGTGACTGAGGACATGGAAGATCGACTGGACCTGAGTTATGGCATCTCACACTATTTCCGCTATGAAGACGGTGACATAGACTCTGTGGCAGCGCACCGTACGCATGGCATGGAATTTGTTCAGCTTCTGTAACAGAGAGTGCGGCTTCGAGTTTTGAGTTTGCAGGGACCAGTGCGGGTTTGGGCGAGAGCGTGTTCCGGAACCGGGTCCGACGTGGGTGCTGCGGTCCCCGTTGCTGTGGGGAGGCGGGCTGGCGTATTGGTCTGAATTTCGCGATCGATTGCCGCGGTCTTCAGCACCGCCCACCCACCCGTTGAGTTTAGGCTTTATGGGTTTAGGGTTTTAGTGTTTCGGGTTCCAGGTTTAGGGTTTTGAAATTTAGGCTTTTGGATTGAGGTCTTAGGGTTTATTTAGGGTTTAGGGTTATACGTGGAGAAGACAAAAGGTGGCAGGAGGGCAAAAAATTGTGGCACTTAAGCACTCTGTTTAATTTTTGTCATTTGGAACATTTTGGAAGGATCAGGTAACAATGTTCTTTCAAGATCGTTTTCATAAAACCGTCATATTTGTCGGGAAGTTGATCATGCGCATCGTCATGTCGATGATGATGGCCATGTCGGTGATGCTGTTGGCGAGGATGACGATTGTATTGATGGTGGTGGTCGCCGTGTCTGGCTGAGCGACCATTTACTTGCATTGTGTTTAGTCAGGTTAGTCGTTGGTTGGTGCGGTGTCATCGTTGCTGCTGCTTGTGCGGATGGTGATGTCGGTGATGATTGACATTGACGGCGCGCTGTCCGAGCATTGTGTGGAACAGCCAAGTGTGAATTCCTTGGATTGCACACGTGCCTGTCAGCATCCAGTAATTTAATTATTTCTAGTACAATTTGGGGTTTTGCTCTTAGACTCTTATCGGCCTGCATTGATTTGAGTCCGGGTGGTGGGTGGGTGGACGGGCGGGTGGACTAACCCCGCCTGTCCCCCGTACACTCCTACAACATGGCCCAGGTTCTTGGATGGCGAGTTCTGCGTCAAAGACTTGGGTTCCACCACAGGAACCTTCTTCTACCTCAGACCCCAATGATGCTCGGTCTACATAGCCCTCAACAACGAAGGGACGACACAACGTTCATGCCGGTATGTCCAAGATGGTTGTTCAGTCATATTGTACGCAACTGTCCGTTTTACCCAACCGCTCATGTGGGTTGGTGATCTCTTTTGCAGAAGGTGTGCCCGAAGTGAATAAACGTGTTGAGGCCGCAACATCGCGATTCAGGTCTTTTGCAGCAACAGACCGAGAAGAGCAGAATGCGATCAGCATCACCATGCCCTGCATTGTGCATTTTTTCGACACATCGAGACTGTACATGCGCAAAGCCTTTGCTGGTGTTGCATTGGCAGCCTTAAGTAGGATCCCTGACAGGAGAACCCTAAACCCCAAACCATCCGAAACACTAAACCCCAGCACAAGTTTCTTCTCCTTAGGCCAGTTCCAGATCTTCCCTGGGCTGATGATCAAGCTGGGCGAGACGGAGATGCAGGCCGAACTGATGTGAGTGCTTAATGTTTTGTTTAGGGTTTAGCGTAGAGACAGATGAGCATTTCCTGATCGGTGTTTCACGTGCGGGCGCCTTGCCAGGTGGACTAGAGATTGCTAGAGTTGCACCTTAGGTGCATCCCCGTCTTTGTCAACATGGGGTGCAGCTTTCAGGTGCGGGCACGATGTAGCCAATTTGATCAAGACACGCGCACGAGGTGCTGTCGCAGAACCCCTCGACTCATGGTATGGAGTTGTCTGTCATGTTCTACGAGGGACACTCGGCTGAAGCGCCTTTAGCCGGATGGCCCAATCTCTTTCGATGGTTGGATCTGTCTACGCTTCAGAGGGGTCATCCTAAAAGCCGCACCCCTACAAGCTCGAAGCATGACTGTGCACGGATTCCAATCGCTTCTTTTCCACGAAATGACTAACCAACTGACTGACTGACTGACTGACTGACTGACTGACTGACTGACCGACTGACTAGGTATCTCGCTAGCTGAATGAAGTAGCTACTACTAACAGTAAAGTGTCTAACCAACCGTCTGACTGACTGACTGACTGATTGACCGACTGACTAGTGCCTGGCTGGCTGACTGACTGACTGACTGAGCCGACTGATCGACCAACATTGACCAACTAGGTAACCAAGCAACGACAGGTAGTTAGCTACCTAACTGCCTGATGAAGACAAAGAAACGACCACAGTTTCTATGAAAGTACCACCTGCGCCATTGATGCCGTGCGTTGTTCTTCATTAAATGAGTCTGCTTGTGTTCACGACAAAGTCATGTTCATGTTGTGGGTATTGAGCTTTCAAAATAGTTGTCTCTCTGCTGAGCCGTACCATCATGGCGGCTATTGTGTTCTCGGGATCGGCCACCTCAATAAATTGGCCCTCCTGCTGAGCTAGCTGTACCTGCGCAGGGCCAAGCCCATCCACCCGGAAGGCCCCCTAAAACTCTACACCAGAAATGCTCTCCCAGAGCTTAAAACCCCTAAAGCCCTACACCCTAAAACCCTGAACCATTCTCAAGCCCCAAACAAGAGACTCCGACCGAGGTCCCTTTGCCGGACACAAGGCCCGGGCTGAAATTGCTCTCTCCAGTCCTTCGGCAGTGGATGTAGTCGATATGTACCTTAAACTACCCATAAACAAGTGACAATACATACCATTACTGTTTTGGGAGTTCCTGGTTATGACTATAGACTAATATACCCCCAAACCCATTGAAACTGTAAAAAATTAAGGCTCCTAACATAGTCTGTCGTGCCAGACGGGTTGTATCAGCTGCTCGGGTCCTTGCAAGGCAGGCAGAAAGCGATTGGCTTGATCTGAGGCTGCATGCGAAAAGCGGTCGCATGCAAATCGCAGTTATTAGCATCAAAAAGAATCGCGACCACACACTTTTCAAGTTCACGTGGTATCAAATTTCAGAGCGAGGTTCAGAAAGCTTGTGTGTCACATCTTCAGGGTACTCTCCTAGCTGCTTCGATCGTAATTCCAAGTCTGGCTGACGTTGGCATAACAATCCAGTGTGGCGATGGCATCTGCAGGGAAAGGTGCGTCGAACCCTCCCAGCGTGGAGCTTTTCGTGACTGGTCTCCCCATGGACTGCAATGATGAGGTTCTCAAAGAAATCTTCAGCCAGTATGGAACCGTCAAGGACGTGAAGGTTCTTCCACCGGCTGCGGGCAAGAAGGCTCGCGCGGGATTCGTGGACATGGCTTCATTGGATGAAGCCAAGTGGATCGTGCAACATGTCCATACCAACGTCCCCCAGGGCTTGTCGAATCCGGTGGAGGTGAGCTATGCGATCCCAAGATCTCAGCGCAACAGCGGCAAGGGGAAGGGCAAGGGAAAAGGTATGTCACCGGAAATGATGATGCAAATGATGGCGATGATGATGTCCAGCATGGGAGGCTGGGGAAAGTAGATAGCGAGGCAGCACAGCACAAGACTGCGTTGTGTAGGATGATTGCCCCAGAGCGGCTACACATCACAGGAGATGAGGCCTTGTTCAGGTAAGGTGGCCACTCCCGGTATTGCGACTAACACCTGTTCTGCCATGACGAGTTTACCGGCCTTGGCATCGGCGGAAGGAAAACAGAAGAGTCAGCAGCGTGTGCATCTGCATTCGCAGCGCTGGCATGCATTTGCAGCTTGTCAGAAGGCTCTGGCCTGCCAGTAGTTGTGATAGTGTGTTTTACCGCTGCCTGCGGGAATAGTAATATACTAACATCGTAACATAAGAAAATTGTAACATAGTCATATTTTTCGTGTTATAGTAATATAGGAACATAGTAATATAGTAGTATAGTACTATGGTCACATACGAATATGTATAGGAATGTAGGATTGTACTAACATAGACAGGGGCAGGGAGAGCGAGGGCGCAGGGGGTGGGGGCAGGAGCTCCTTGTTGGATGAACGACATTCCCACGCTCTCGTAACAGTCAGGGTGGGCAGTACTATCCACTCAGCTTCCTTGCTGCTCTCAGTCTTATGTATTGACTGTGAATGCACCAGAAACCCTACAGTCGAAGTCCCTAAAGCTAAACCCCTAACCCCTAAACTTTTTCTACATTTATAGACCCCCCCCCCTTTAGCGGCTTTAGCGGAACCTTTTAACGGAACCCGCAGGTCACGGTGCCAGCAGCCGGGATTACCATCGGCCGGGTGTCTGACAATACGTTGGTCTTGCTGCAAGATGGCTTCTTGGATGATTGTTTTGTAGGTTTTGGTAAGGATGCTGCAGGTGTTTCAGAACACGCATCACAGCAAGAATGCGACTTCAATGTTGCTGTTACTGTGTTTATGACAATTCCTGTAAATGCTACTAAGTTACTACCGTATTGCGACTGCGACTACGACCAGTATCATTATCACTAGTATGCGTACTTTTCCTGCGGCTATGGCCACCACCGTCATTGTTAGCTTTAGCATTACATTTCATCTGACTATTACCATGCTTTCTTACTATTGCTATTACTATTACGCCTACTAATAATTACAGGTGCTATTACGCACTGTTGCTGTTTCTTTTAAAAATCATTAGGATTGCTACTATTGCTGCTATGCTGTTTCATATGATAGGCATGGACTTGGTAAGGACTGCAGGGACTGCGGACGAAGTGCCATTTCGACAACCTCGTCTAACGACTCCGTCTAATTAACCGACCATCAAGGAGCATGAGGCAGACCAAACCAAGCAAAACCCAGAACATGCAGCACATCAGGTTACGCAGAGATTCAGACAGAGAAGGAAAGCATAGCAAAGCAACTACGTACACACACGCATATATATATATATACATATATATATATATACGTTCAACAAATAAATAAACAAATAAATCTATATCTATATATATGTATGTATGTATGTATGTATGTATGTATGTATGTATGTGCGTGTATACACACCTCCAGCCGAGATGCTTAACCACAGTCGGCAGGCGGGGTTTTGAGCTTCGTCTATACCCTGCACCAACACGTAGCCTCTGTTCCCCAGCAGGCCCAGTACTCGGGTTAATGCCCTTTGAGCTACAAAGCCCTAAGCCTTAAGCTCTAAACCTTAAAAAAGACCAGCATCTCCTAAAAAGCTCCATTTCCTCGAGCCTGAAGCCTCAAACCCCAAACTAGGGATCCGAACAGATGTTACACGAAGTGAGGTAGGGAGCTCCGTGAGCCTTCGCTTCTGTCATAGTTTTCGTGTGTATACACTTTATATATATATATATATGTATATGTAGGTATACTATTCGGTATAGTGTGGCATTGTTGCATGTCATGGTGCCATATATAATGGATTATCGTATGACACAACATAAGGACCTGCAGCAACTGCGATGACAGAAAGTAATTGCCGACTTGTTTGTTGCTTCTACTCGGTTTGTCCAGAAGAGCTTCTAGGTGTTGCTGAAAACCTAGCATGTGTTTGATGCATGGTCCAGATGTAGAATAGCTCGTTTGCAACACGACGCTTCGCACGAGGGTCTCTTCTTTGCGTAGGTGTTTGATGGCCTCGCCCTCCGATTTCCACGGTTCCATTTCTGCTGATTATTTTCAAACCGGGGCCATGAATTCGGGTTTAGGGTTTAGATGAGATAGTTCCTAACCCTAGACGCTTGAATTCGGGACCAGTGGCAGCTTTGGGGGCACTTTCTGCCTTCCGGAAAGCTTTTCAATTCTCTCCGTCAGGATGCCTCGCAGCCTGCACGAAGGTTTTCCTCCCCTTTTCAGCGCTCTGCAAATTCGACATTGGAAACCGCTAAGATGGCAAAAATGTTAGAATAGCAGCAATCGTCGGAAGTAGAACAATAACAACAAAAGTAGTGACATAACATTGGTTACTTTTCAAACCTGTTGGCGGGGAGTTCCAGGAACTGTGTCAGCCCATCACGCCATGCTCTTCCACGAGAACGGCAGCTTCTTTATCCAAGCATCCTGGCAAGCTGCAGGGCTTAGGGGCCTTTATGGGCTAATCATAGGGTTTAGGGTTTATAGGGTTTAGGGGAATCATACAGTGTTGGGGTATATTACAGTATACGTATGGGCGGTTTTGGGGTCGTTATACTATAGGCATAGGGGGGGCCTTGTAGGGAAGCGGCTTCGGGGCTTCTTGAAGACCGGAGCCGGCCTGAGTGTCTTGCACAGGCAACCGAATGGGTGGCACTGAGCGCGGCGTATTTTCAGTTACGTCTCCAATTTGATATTATTACTGCTTTTGCAGTAATCGATACTTCTAGGCTCCATAGTAGTTCCTTTTTGTAGTGTATATTTACGATCCTTTAAGGTAATCCCAAAAAGGAACTACAATGGAGGCTATCGGTAGAGGCCATTTATCATTGCTATTCATTGCTGCAGGACGCTTGCCGACACTCATAAGCCATAGGGTTTAGGATACCACTGTGCCTCTGTGCCCAGCAGTCACTTGTCAGGACCTGGGCAGCTGCAACGGCACCTGCGTGCGGTTGAGCCCAGAGCGAGACGCCAGCGATTGGCATCCCATCATTGATGGAGACGTGCCTCGTCTCACCACGGCAGTTTAGCAGGGGGCCAGCATCGTGCTATCATGGGCCTCTTTGTATATGTCCCGAGATGCCATGTATGTGGAACATGCATCTATGTACACACGTCTGCATACGTAATGTGCAGAGGCACCGTATCGCTGATATATATATATATATATATGTATGTATGTATTTATGTATGTATTTATTTATTTAGCTAGTTAGTTCTATTTACATTTATGCTTTACATTTATTTGCGTTTCTTTACATTTGTTTTCATTTATCTACATTTATTTACATTTATTTACATTTATTTACATTTATTTACATCTATTTATATTTATTTACATTTCTGTTCATTTATTTATATTTGTTTGTATTTATTTAGATGTATTTATTTATATCTATTTATATGTATTTACATTTATTATTATTATTATTTATACTTATTTATATTATCTATATTTGTACTTACATTTATACTTATACTTATACTTATTTTCCTTTCTTTCTCCGCTCGCTGTTAGCAGAGGTTAGGAGTTCAGCTTCTGCGTGAGGACGATGGGTTCAGGGTTCTCGTCTTCGACTTTCTGAGGTTGGGTTTAGGGTTTCGGGGTTCGCGTGTAGGCGCGCGCACCCAGAAGCCCCAAACCCCTAAAACCCCGGTTTAGGGTTTAGGGATTTAGGGTTTAGGGGTTTAGGGTTATAACCGCTGTTGACCTGAGGTCCTGGGCGCTGGCTGTACAAAGATCCGGTGCAGAGTGCGCCATCCGTAAAAAAGAAGCGCTGAGGAATTTGGGCATCCAAGGCTTGCCTGTGCATCCAATACGTAACTTGGCAGGAAGTCTATAGCCTATCTATCGACCTATTGAATCTATCTGTCTATCTATCCATCTATCTATCTGTTCATCTGTCTATCTAGCTGTCCATCTATCTGGATATGCTATGTCTACCTGATCTATCCGTTCATCTGTCTGCTAAGTTGTCTACTTATCTATCTACCTATCTACCTATCTATCAATCTGTCTGTTTATCTGCTATCTATCTGTCTATCTGTCTATCTACCTGCCTACCTACCTACCTACCTACCTACCTACATTTCTTTCTTTTGTTCGTTGTTCATCTCTGTTTTTCGTTCGTTAGTTCCTTCTTTCCTTACATCTTTCTATCTACCTACACAGCTCTCTACCTATCTATCTGTCTATCTATCTATCGGTCCATGCTATCTGGCACCCTCGCCACCTACAGTACCTGCCTAGCTGTCTGGCTGACCGGGTGGAGGTCCTGCTCTGCGCTGAGGGCAAGCTGCAGTAGTTTGGAACGTGAAAGAAGAATACCGGAATACCACATAATACTCCATCGCACTGTTTTCTATGATAATCAGTAGTATACTCCAGAAAACCTCTGGAACCATGACACGTCATGCAGTAGAACCGAATCGTCTAGACGTCCTGGTGTCATCCTGAAGCCAACCGTTGATCCACCCAGCATTGCTGAAACCTGCTTGCTGTTCCAGCCATTTGGGGCTGCTCATCAGACCTCCCGGCACAAAACTCTCGACAGAGACTGGAACACCCAATGCATCCGGAGAGCGGTTGGTCTCCAAAGTCTGTAGAAATGTATGTGTGTGTATATGTATGTATACTATATGGTACATATATACACTGTATGTATATATATATATACACATACATACATGCACGTAAGAAAAGGCACTCAGGCACACTTCAAGGCTTCAGGGCAAACTTTGAGGCTGACCCGGTTAATGGTCCTCGCACAGACCTACCGTTTCTTCTCCTTTCGCGTTTCGTTTGTCGTCGGCGCCATGGTTCCTCGCCGAGCCGGCCGTCTTCTCGTCGCCATTGCTGCCGCAATGCTACTTGGATCCCGTTAAACCCCTAATCCCCTAAACCCCTAAACCCCTAAGCCCTAAGCGCTAAACCCTAAACCCTCCCCGATCACAGTCAACTCCACAAGGTTTGCATCGCCCCCGCTACTTTGTCCGCCAGCTGGGCGATGTGTGGCTCCGATTTGCGGCACGATGAGCATGGGAGGCTCAGAGTGTAGGGTTTTGGGTTTTGGGGTTTGGCTAGGGGTGTTGGGTTTAGGGGTTTTAGGTTGAGGGGTTCGTTGGGTTTGGGTTCGGGGCTTAGGATTGCAGTGATGGCTCCGCATGTCCTGGAATGAGGGTTTCGGGAAGGTTTCCTCATCTGTGAACAGGGATGAGCATGTTGAGATGCTGATCTATTGTCATGGCTGAAGCTTCATCGTGACGGTATGCGGTTAGTTCGTCGTTTCAAGAACTTCAAAAAATGCCGAGCAAATGCATGGCTCTACCGTGGCAGCTGCTGTCAGAACAGCTCTGTGTTGGGTTTACTGTAGGGTTTGTAGGGATTGGGATGTAGGATTCAGGGAACTGGGTTCACGGTTTAGGGATTGGCTTTCATGTTTTGTAGCTATCAGGCTTATACCCTCCGGCCTCAAAGCCTCGAAAAGTTGATTTTGGCTTTTGTCGGACTGATGATCACTGTCATCGTCATCATCGGGTTCCTGTCATTGCTACTGCTTGGTAGTTCTGGTCCGGTTTCGGTTGTGAGAACCACGCCGATCCGTAGGGCGATCACTGATGATGCTTATACCAGGACTCTGATGAAGAACAGCGCCAATAGACTCTAATCTTAAACCGGCTCAAACCCAGATTGCTTTCTTTGCCCCTTCTGGGAATTCCCGGCTATCTGCAGACTCGCGCGCTGCGGGGAAGTCGAAGAAGAAGGAGCGCCCCGTGAACATCGAGAGGGGTGCCCTGAATGTCGGGGCCCACAGGGGGGGGTTCGAAGGTGGAGTCTGCGGGTTGAAAGTATCAGGACTTTTAGGGTTTTTGGGGGTTTAGGGTTTAGGGTTCAGGGATTTAGGGGTTAGGGGGGGATCGGGTTGGGGTTTTTGGTCATCTTTGCTCTGGGGTTTAGAGAGCAGAAGGGTGGACCATCAACAGCAGGGGTAGAAGTCACAAGTCCGAGGAATGTACTAAGAACCCTTCGTTCGATCGACGAGTCGTTAAAAAAAGTCTCCCCCATCATAAGCCCTCATTAAACCATACCCTCAGCTGCAAACCCTGAACCCTTAACCCACACTGTCAGAGATCGGTTCAATTTATTTTTTTCGGACTTCCTCGGGACACGCTCTCTGCTAACATCTAGGCGTTTAAGGTGACCTCCTCGTGCAAGGGCCCCATCTCCTGTCCAACTAAGACTACCTCGGTGTAGCATGGGGATATCAGAGCAGCATGTCCGTGTCAGGAAATCAGCCAAGCTCTACATCAGCTTCTAAGCCTCCAAAGCCCTAAATCCATGAGCCGCAAACCGTAAACCTCCAAATTCCTAGACAGCATGCTGAGGCCAAGTGGACGCCGATCCGGCAGGTTCTTCACATTGGACGGTACCTCGCGATGTGGAAGGAGCTATCGTTTGTCGGCGTGTGTATGCTTGTGGTGGGTTGCAGAGTTGGACAGTTGGGGTTTAGGATGCGTTGATCATTTAGGCTACAAGCTACAAGGCCATGGGCTGAAGGCTCATAGTATTTGCAAGGTTAAAGTAAAGTCGAGTTCTAGCGCCAAGCGTTCAGGCAATTCAAGCGATGGAGGGTCTAGTGTAGTGCGGTTGCTGTAGCTGCAGCCCACCCAATATGGCTTTCAGGTGGATCAGGCTCCAGGCCTTGTACCAAGCAATAAAATCCGAAGCGCCGATACTCCAACCGCCAATAAGCCATAGACCCTTTTCCTCAAAAGCCCTAAACTTTAAATGACTTCTGAACGGTAAACCCTCAACGGAAGAACCATTACATACCGCTTTAAACCCTAAATCGATGAAAAATCAACCGCTAAACCCAGGAGAAGTGGGTCGGACCAGCCAACTTAGACCGAGCGAGCCTTCGGATCACTGGCATGGACCGCTCCTCCTGCGCTTCTATGGATTTGGAGCTTAGGCTTCCCATAGACTCCATAGTAGTTCCTTTTTGGGGTTACGTTATAAGGATCCTAAATAGAAGCCCCAAAAAGGAACTACTATGGAGCCTATGGCTAGTACACTGGATTTTTGCATAGTCGTTCGACTATGCATGATGATATGACGTAGTCTAATAGGAGTTTACAGTCCTTATGGACTGTAAGGCCCCATAAACCCTAAACCCTAAACCCAACTGTAAGGACTATGATCTCAGGAATGCCCCGAAACTGTTCACCCTAAACCAGGAGCAGAGGGCCACATGGAGACGAGACATGTCGCGGGCAATACTCCAATGCCTCCTACTCACTCACGAGCACTAGGGTTTTTGGGGAGTGTTTAGGGTTTAGGAGTCTGCTTTCTCGCTATGCCTGCGGGTTTTGTGGGACATGCCAGATCCAATGATCAAATATAGTGGCTTTAATAATATCAAAATACATACAGATACTATTCCTGGGGTTCCTCAGTCGAGATTATTCCCACCCCATATAGAAGCTGTATATCTTTGTCTTGATCGATGCGCAAAGTCTCTGCCACACCTGCGAAGAAGTAGCTGGCAGTCCTCGCACGCCTTGCAGCTGCAGTCCAACCCAGCATGAATATTGAGCAATAGTAGGATATCCCCTTATGGTCATTACAGTCCTAGTATAGGGATACTAGATACCACCGATTCCATTTTTAGAGGTCCCTATGTTGCAAACTGATACAGGTCAGCCCCAGACCTTGCATGTTAGAACTAGAATTAGACTCGTTGTTCGTGGGAAATAGCACTTCACAATACAGCGGTCCCTATGTTGCAAACTGATACAGGTCAGCCCCAGACCTTGCATGTTAGAACTAGAATTAGACTCGTTGTTCGTGGGAAATAGCACTTCACAATACAGCGGTATAGCAATAGAAAGATGTCCGACGAGGTGTGGAATGTCTGCATAAGTATAGTGTAACGGAACTGGATGCCCGGATTATACCATGTCGGCCTGTCCTCATGCACCTGCTACAGGACACCTATGCCTTGGTGGCTGCAGTGTTGCTGCAAGTAATCACAGGGCATCTTGTCTGCAACAAAAAGTTCTCACCCAGATCATGCTCTACTGGGCGTATCCGGCGACCTGAGTATGCAGGTAATTGGCGGGGTTATAAAGATACCCCCAGAAGAGCTCTTGAGTAATAGCATGGGTACGAGTACGAACTTTGAATTCTGCACCCCTCATCCGGAAACCCCAAGCCCCAACAAGCCCTGAAGACCAAAGGCCTTTACCGGAGCTCATGCAAACCCAATAAAACCCCAAGGAAAGCCCTAAACAAACCTGTAAACGCCGGATGGGACCTATTCTGCCGACCATTAGCCCGTAGGTCTAATCCCAAAGCCCTATACCACAAGCCCGATAATCCCTAAACCCTACAGGCCCGGAACCCTGATCGATAAACCCTAGACCCTATACCCTCATTCCAAAACCCTGCAGTCAACCCCGAACTCCACGTTAAATCGCGGCTCTATAGGTCCATAGTACCCTTAGGACGCTTTTTTTCTAGCTAGAGTATAATGTACCCAAATACCCTAATCTTATTCTGACGACCCCTACATTTCCGAGCCCATATAGAAGCCTTTACAGAAAACCTTCAAAGGAACCCTATTCCCAATTACTAAGGCCCCTAAACCCTAAACCCTCAAACCTGTCGCTTCGACGAAAGAGGTGATACTTGTAGTAAACCCTAAACCCTCCACCCTCAACCCTAAACCCTAAACCCCTAAACCCTACATAAACCCCTAAAGCCCTAAAGCCCTAAACCCCTAAAGCCCTAAATCCTGGGTTAAGTTGAGGCTCTACGGATCGGTACCAGAGCCCGACGAATCCAACGAGCGTGCCTAGGATGGAGAGGTCTGCTTTCTTGCGTCTGGGGCCGTGGGGGTTGAGGGTTCAGGGTTTAGGGTTTTCCGGGTTTAGGGTTTAGGGGTTTAGGGTTTACGGGTTTAAGGTCTAGGGGTTTAGAAGGCTTATAGGGGCTCATGGGGTTTGGGGCTTGGGGTTTAGGGGTTTTGGGTCTATTTGGGGGTTTAAGGGTTAAGGTGTTTACGTCTATATAGTGGCCCTTTAGACTAAGGTGGGTTTTAGGGCTTCTGGGTTAAGGTTTTTGGGGTAAGGTTTAGCTTGAGTCGGCGTTTGTTTGATTTAGTTTTGGGGCCGGGCGTCCCTCACAGCTTAGCAGGGTGTACAGTGTTGCCCGAGTATGGCCGTTTGCATAGTTCATGTTACATCGAGAACGGTTCTATGAGTCGATAGAACGAAACCTGAGTAGGAGTTTATTGCTGGAGCAAATGGGTGCAACAAGGGTTGAGGTTTCAGGACCTAGGACCTAGGCGTGTAGGCTTGAGCACGTTATTTGTGGGTTCAGGGATTCGGTGGTCAACGCGTTGTGCACACGCAGGGTTTGTGACTTCAATGACTTCTTGCTCAGGGTTTCAGGGCTGTAGGCTCGGTGTATTTACCGGATCAGCGGGGTCCGGGCTACAGGGCATTCAGACATTGACGGTTTGGAGCGATACATATAATATATATATATACAGAATATGCATACCTTGTGTTGTAAGTGCATGCAGGTTGTTGAATTGGTGTGCTCTGTTTGAAAGGGGGGGAACTAGGTTTGAAGAGTTTGAAGTTTTAGCCCTTGGATCTACCGTGTTTGGGCTTGCGAGGGCTTCAAGGGCGGTATCACTCACAGTTGTTGTTTTTTCTGTTGGGCGTAGGTTGTAGGTGCAGGCTTGTAGGTTGGGAGGCTTGCTAATCAACACTACCAAAGTTCAGTACGAACTGCGACATTGACATGTTACTTGTTCGCATAATACGTGTGATACATAAATTCAGAGAATAGCTGTCTATACCATGCCATACGTTTACACGTACTTGTTTGTTGGCTTAATTGCTATAGGTGTGTACATACGTAATTACATACCTGCGTACACAGAGTTACTTACATACTCACATACATACATGCATACATGCATGCATGCATGCATACATACATACTACACGGACAGTTACATACACGCGTCGGAGGCTTGGTGCAGCTGGTGAGAGTCTATCTGTGTTTCCGACCCAACACACCTCCTACGCCATAGGGGCAAGTCTTGAAACGACCCGGAATGCTAAATCCTTAGAGTGCTAGAGTCTGCTAGAGCAAGAAAGCCGAAACCTCGGAGCCTTGAACCTGCGAGTCCAAGCCTCAAGCGGCTACCTACGAGTGAAAGCTCGGTGGCATGAGGCATCAAGTATCCTGCTCTTCAAAGGCGCTGCCCTCTCTTGTCAGCGAGCTTTATGTTACATAGCTAGCTTTATACTGCTCTTAAGATTTCTCGTTTAGCATTAGCCGAGTGGTCAAGGAGTGTTCGTGGATTTGGCAGACGAGTCGCTTGTTAAGCCATTGCATTCGGGCAGAAGGTCGAGCTGTGTTCTAAACCCTAAGGGTCCATGTACCTAAATAGTATATACGTTGGCCCCAAAGTACATGTATAGGGACTACCTCAAGGCCGAAGTGCTTACTGTTTGGGCACATGGACCCTTACGGAAAGGAAGCACCACGTCAGATCTCAGGAGTGCTATTTCATCCTCGCGACAGGTTCATGTACGAGTCCCAGATGTTCCTTTCCAGCGTTTCCGTGGTTTGCAGCACCTACACCATGGTCCGGATCTCAGGGCAGCATCCTGGACGACGTGTGTGCTGTAGTCACCGTAGTCTTGAACCTATACATACAGGCTTCGCCGAGAGTGGCGACATTGATGCTCTTTGCTGCCGCGATCCTGATCTGTCGACTTCAACGTAGCTAGACCCAAGCCGTGGAACTTGAGGTTATGTTCCTGCTCTGCAAGATATACACGGTCATGGCTCTGGGCATGTACAAGGACCGGTTCTGCTGGGTGGTCAGTGAACAGTTAGTCTGGGACTCTTCTCAAGCCTCTATGACTCTATGACGAAGAATCCCAGTTCCATTTATTGAGATACCTTCCAGACACTGTCTGCATATTCCCAGAGACGACGCTCGAACTCCTGAGACATTAATTCCTTTTGGATCCACTTCTTAAGCCCTGAAGCTATTTGGAGCAGAAACGAAGCCTCTTGCCAGAACCATTTCGGGCCTGATATCCCCTAAGCTGAGGGTTTAGGGTTAAGAGATTATTAGGATTCCCTAAGCCCATAGAATAGATGCTTGTAGTTGCCCGTTGCAGCAGCATAGAACACCCACGTTGACCCTAAACCAATACTACGAAGCAGGACGTTTCCTACGATCTGTTCCAGCAAAACACAGCCAGGCTCGGTTGGGCTTCGATTCGGGTCGGTGCGGGATTTTCGTTTTGGGGTGGGTTGAGCTTTTGGGGTTTGGGATTCAGCATCTATGGCTTGAGCCGTCGGCCTTATGAAATGCGTCAGAGAGGAGCTCTCAAAGGCACCCCCTGGGGCTTACCCTAACCCCACATCGGGTTCCATATCATGATTTCCTCAGATACGTCCTTTAAAAGAGTTAGGTTTTGCACGTATACGAGGTAATATAGACGCCTAGATACTGACCAATAGTACTGTTAGGGTTCCCAATTATAGTAACACTAAAAAGGAGCCCAAACCTATGTCCTCATTTTCGAGGCCCCATGTTATAGGACCCTATCATAGACCCCTTGTAGAACCCTTTAAGGATCCCTTTAAAGGAGCCCTATGTGGCCCCATCTTAGAGCCCCGCTTGAGTCCCCTAACGCACGCCGGAAGCCCAAGCAACTCGTAGCTCGAAGCCCCTTCGGCCTTTAGCTTTGGCCGGGGGGTTCTGCTGACCCTCACCCGATCAGCCTTGCGAGGGCCACCTGGGATCAGGGTTTCGGTTTTTTTTTTTTTTTGGGTTGAGGGTTTGGGGTTTAGGGTTTCGGGTTTAGGGTTTAGGGTTGGGTGTTTTGGGGGGTTTAGTTTGGGCTGTAGGGGTTGGAGAATTTAAGGCTTTCTTCGGGTTTCATTTGCTGGTTTCTTCCATGCTCAGCCGGGGTCCTTACAAGCAGGGTTTCTATGTTCTGGCCCTTCTCCGGGATGAAAGCCCTAAATTTTGTGTGCGTTTTGGATGTGTTTGTTGTAATACTGAAAGAAAAAGAATAGTAAGCTGTGTGCAGAAGTATCCTCGCCTTGCGGATCGTCTGAAAGGGAATCTAGCCCCGACGAACTCCCTGCCACAAAGGAGAGGGCTATAGTGCTACAGTACCACATGCCACATGGCCTAAGTACTCCGAGACTCGACTCCTCGTGCCTAACAAGCTGAATCACATGATTTTGCAGCATCATGTGGTGTGATCGGAGGAACAGCACAAGGCTGGAGAGACTACTGATGAAGCTGACCAGAAGCCAAATCCTCCAAAATTTTCAGAAAAGTCTGCAAGCGCCAAAGACCCGAATCCAGAAATCCCTCAACCCCTTTGCACCCTCCCTCCTGCTTCCAGCAGGTTTCGCCTTCGGGCTTTCTGGAGCCTCATTATCGCCATGCACAGTCGCTGGGCTTTCCAGGTTTTTGGCTGTGCGGGGTGAGGATCGGAAAGTAAACTCACATTGGGAGGGTCTTAGCTGGAAACAGGGGCCTCAAGAATTAGCCGTATCCCCGATCTGTTCTTAACACGTGTAAAAAGAAACCGCCCCCCAAGGCCCAATTCTAATTCATGTCGAGTCTAGTTAAGGCCCCTATATTCTAGACCCATAAAGAACCCTTAAGAGCCCCTGAAGCAACCCTAAACCCTTAACCCTACTATTCTCACTATGAAGCCACCACATTACACAAAGGAGGGTCCGGTTTTGGGTAGGCTCCAAGGTGGCGAGTCCTCGATGCCTCTGTTGATGGGTTCTGGAGCAGTCCTTATACAGTCCACGTCGTCACAGAATAGGACCCTAGCCTTAAAGCTGGTTACCCGAAGAAGGAACTACAATGGAGACTATGAAGGTATATGTTATGCTCTTGAAAATCTGGTGTCCTTGCACGAGCCATTGCAGAACGAAGGTTGAGACGCAGGCCAAGCTGCTACATATGATTGTGCGCTGCGGGCCCGTTGTGCGCTGCGGGCCCCCACCCCCACCCCCACCCCCGCCGGCATATGGTATCCCCCGTCGCCCTTCCCGCCAGCTTCAAGCCTCAGGGCAGCCTGAACTCTGAAGCCTCAACCCTTGCAGCCGAAAACCCAAAAACGAAGGGAGGGTGGATGATCCGCCTGGACGCAACCCCATACACACCACTCCTTGTCACTCCTTGTCTCAGTCATGACACCGTAAGCCCCCCGACCTCCGGTTTAGGCTCGAGGCCAACTTCCCGAGTTCCCCAAAACTTCTAAAGAATCACCCCACCCAAAGCCGTCAAGGAAGCAGAAGTCCAACCAAGAAGGGCAAAATGCGCCCTAAAAACCCCAGTTGAAGCTGGAACAGCAGCCTCGATCCAAAAGACGAGCCCCCAAGCCTAACCTGTAGAAGGACATGCAATTTCATCGACATTATCTTCTGCACAAGCACTAGCCACTAGAAATCCCACCAGTCTAAAACCTCAGCCCTGTGCGCCAATCCATAAAGCCATCCCTACTTGGAGGTTCATAGGTAGTTATAAGTATGGTTTTAAGTCCTCTAATATGGGTTGTAACTACAATTACCTTACTTATAACCGCACTTGTAACTACCCATAAACCGACCCTAGTTGCCCTGGTCTTATACACGCCGAAGTGCCCAAATCTCAGCAAGAGCGAGGCTTCCTCGTTTCCTTCGCCATGAACCTGTTTACGCTCCTCGACCTACGTCTGCTCTATAGATATGACCATGTATACCTACGTCATGTGACTCAAAACTGTTTTGATTTTTGTCTGCGGGTGTGTATATGTTTCTACATAATATGTTAATGCCCTAAACCCTAGGCCCTAAACCCTAAACTTGTATGATACAGAGAGCTGGCTATCTTGACATCTGGATGCTCAGACTCAGACTCGCCATCAGCCTTCCTAAGAGGTTTTTTTCAAGGTCAGGTTTCTGAAACTGTTACTGAGCCTTCGACCCTAAACCCGTAGCCCCGGGAATCCTAATCCCTCATATCTGAGCCGACAATCGCCAAAGCATAGATCCTTAACCCTGAGAGCTGTAATAACGAAGCCTGAATAATTACCTATACACCACTCCTTAGGGCTCCTTAATGCAAGAATGGTATTACATTCCTTAACTCCCTCACTTTGGCCTTCGGGTATTTCAGCTTTGGGAAGCAACGGATTTTGGCTCAGGGCTCTGTATGGCCCGAACGGTGAGAGCCCAGTTACCGCGTTTCAATCGGGTGTTTACATGGACGTCATGGCATTCCGCGATTTGCAGAGGGTACTGTGCCAGTTTGACCATACTGCATGGTGTTTGGCCGTTTGGCGACAGCAGACATGATGCGATCCGCAGCCATATTTCGTAGCTTTTTCTCACTCATGTCGTATTTTGCTTTGCATGATAACTTGTCTTGATCGCATGTGGTTCTTTATCTTGGACCGTTCTCCTGATTCGTCCCCCTCACGTCTCAGAATTACCATGACTGCATGCGCAGCCAGGCGAGTGAAAGGCAAGAGGGGCCTCTTCCTCTGCGTGGTGACCATGATGGGGATCGCTCCAGTCGTCTATGTGGCTCAGTGGCACTCCGACCGACAGCCCTCACAGAGGAATTCCCGAAAACAGGGGGGTGAGGGGAGGGACCCTAATGGACAGAACTACCCAAAGGTTCGCAAGCGAAGCCCTAAACTCCGATGCCCAGGACTGGAAGATCATCTATGAGGTCGCAGAACGCTACGTCTATAAGTGAGTCATGCACCCACGGGCACCGAAGACGGAGCCAAAGGCAAAGGACAGCCCAAGAGCAGCATCGCCGAGCCAGGCCATAAGCCCTGAGCCTTAGGTTAGAGTTTTTATGGGGTTTAGGGTTTAGGGTTTATCAGGGGTTTAGGGTTTAGGGTTTGTAAGGGGTTTAGGGTTTATAAGGGGTTTAGGGTTTGAAGAAGACCAGGCCCTTTATCCTCCTTGAGCACGAACCCTAAACTGTTCTGGGCTTGTAGAGCCCTGGTATCCGTAGTGATTGGGGCCTGTTGGCTTGGGCATGTAGTTCATGTAGTTCCCGGGATGCGTCCCTGTGTCTGCCACAGCATAACAATAGAAATAATCGTAATATGTAATAGCAATACTTAATATCAATAGCATCAATAGCAGTAATAACTGATTCTGGCAATGACGCGAGTTGTCGGCTTCGTTTCGGGGGGTGTCGTTCTGGCGTGCACAAATCGCCCTCCTTGAAGTTCGCACTAGAGAAGCTGTCACAACACCGCAGCTTCGCATTGCCAGGCTCGATATTCAGGTGCAAACTTCAAGGTGTTTGTGCACGCGGATTCAGAAGAATGAATCTACAAACTCTGACCCCTCAATCCCTCAACCCGAAACCCCAAACCCGCAACCCTTCGATTCGGAAGAATGAGTCCGTTTCGTTATGGGCGCGACACGGCACCCAGCAAAATCGCTTCTACGCCAGCCCAAAGGAGGCTGGCTGTTTCCGTAGGAGACGGAGCAAGGCCGCCAAGTGGAGGGATTGAGGATTGAGGGTACTCATGGAACGTACAAGGGTTGAATAAGGGTACAACATAAGGGTATTATACAGGATAAGGTGTACGGGTCTAGGGCTTTTAGTGTTCAGGATTTGAGGTACAGGGTTTCAGGATTCAAGGCTGAGGATCCGGAGAAGGTGGTCGGAATAGCACTTACAGGTAGCTTTGTGGAAGGGTGGAAGGATTTTCGTGCTGGCAGTCGTATTGTGTTGAGAAGGTGTCCGGGATGGTGTCTGTTAGCAGTATGCTGAGTGCGCGCAAGGTGTGCATTTTGTGTTTTTAAAGCTTTTTACAGCTAGCGATTCCTTGGCCAGCCGAACTCCAAATTTCCGAAAGTACCTGGAGGTCATGGCGAGTTCGCCGTAGGGTTGTCAATGCCTGCACTGGATGACCGTGTTCATAACCCTACTCAGGACTACTCATGCACCTTCAAGCATGCCTATCTGCAAGGCGCCAATGAAGACTTCGCTGCGAATTCTGCGAGAAAGAGCATCTCAAGTTGATCAGACGGGAGCCTTGTTTTTTCCTTAGGGTTCCTGTTTTTTTAGTTGTAGCACAACATAGCCCAAAGCCCTACTCCAACAATTAAGGCCATGTATGACTCGTGAGCTTCTTGGCCAGATGAGTTTGAGAGACGCTGGAGCTGTAGATATCATATTCTATATTATTGACTATATACGATGTACTAGATACTATATAATATGTACAATATATACATCATATATTCTATGTTGTATATTTTATGCTATGTATCAAAAAATGTATGATATGAATATAAATATAAATATACATGTTTTCTTATCATACATTGTATGTTAGATTCTATATTGTATATCATATAGTATATTCTTTTTTATATCATATATTACATACTGCATTGAGACAATTGCCCTGTGGGTACTTGAGTTTTGCTCGTGACAGGTCTGTTCTGCTGTACTAGCGGGGCTTTAACAATTTTCAGAGGGTCTTGGGGGTGGATGTCGGCGAAAGCCTGTCGACGAAGAGCGACACAAAGGACGACATATGCATCGCCTTAAATAATTAGAATAGGGCCCTAGGGCATATTCTACCATAGTTATACTACGGAGCCCCAAAGAGGAATATTGGTAATCATTATAAGGCTTCTATAGTACTCTCTGTGTGAGTCGTTTGTTATGCGTTTCAGCACAAGGCTTACACCAACCCGGTGTGAAATTCGGGTGCATTGGGCGGCCAGTGACGGTTTTAAGGGCCTGTAGGGTTTACAGGTTTTACAGGGTTTTTGTTTGGAAGTTTTCCGGTTGGGCCTTGCCAGGGGTTTCGGGCGAAAGCATCAGTTCAAGGTGCAGCTCTTCAAGTTCAGAATGGGGGCCCGATCTTCATGTGGGCTTGTTCTGCATTCATACAGTCATAGTTGTAGTAGAATATGTCTCGAAACCCTACTCTCCTTCTTAAGCTCTACTCTCCATGTTCACCTCTGCCCTCCTTGTTCAGCAAACAATAACAAGATTCAGCCTTAAACCACAGCCTACCCATTGACTGGAGCCAGAAGCCTTCCCTGAGCTCCCCTGAGCCCTAGCCCTCCAAAGCAGAATAGTGGGCGCACTATTCGGGTCTGAAACTACGACTCTTTACCGTTGCCCAATATCAGCATACCCCAAAACCCCTATTCTATGTATTATAAGACCCCTACGGTGGATGATATAAATCCTGCATTACCCATAATAAGGACTATACCATAATTCCCATAGTTTAGGCTCCTTTTAAGGTGATGCAGGATTTCTATCATCAACAGTAGTTCAGATGGGCTCTGCCAACAATCCTCACCTCAGCCCTTGGCTCGAAAACGGCATCTCCGGGAAATGCATGGCTCTGAAGCTGAATCCCATCGTGCAGCATCCAACTAAACACTACCCTACTATCCCTCCAGTGTTTAATCTTGCCGTCGGGGTGGGAGCAAGTAGCAAACATATAGTGTCCCCTTGTTGTGCTTCCAAACGCCTATTCTAATCATTCCGGTGCCTGTACCAGAGCGACGATATGCTTGTTTCTTCTACATTCAGTCTGCGCGACATCCCAGACCCACAGTGACCCACAACCCAATACGCGACGGAGCACTGCATGGTGGCTTCAAGAAGCCAAAGCCAACATGCCATGGCAGACAACAAATCAAATCTGGTCAGTTTTGGTGTCCGTACCAATTTCATATTGTCGTTGACATACGTACCTTAATAGGAACCTTTTCATGGGAGTGTCCCCCGAATGTCATGTCAATCAACTCTTGGCGAAACCAAAACCTTCAGGACCTACTACAAACTCGCTACATGGCACCCTAAGCCCTAAATCCTAATCCCTAAACCGTAGCTTCATGAGCTGCAGCCAAAGATGCGGTGCGATCAAGCGTTCCGCCTAAATGACGCCCGGATCGCAATAAGACTCGTGGATGCAGAGCATTAGTACTTTGCAATGATTGGGGTTTAGAGTTTAGGATTTAGGATTGTCGCAATCCCTACATCTCCAAAGTACAATAGATCACCAAGATATCGATGGGAATGGGTTAAGGGCCGTATGTGGGAGTCTCAGAAGACAAGTGACCTTAAATCTGGATGCTAAGCCTAAACCCTTCACTTAAATAGTAGGAGACAGATTATCATGTCCCCTAGTTTGCCTGAAATTTCAGAGAAGCTGGGACCCTGGAAGTTCACGAAGCCGCAAGCCGTCGACATGCCCGGTTGAAGAGAGCCTCATCATGGGAGAAATGATTGAACATTTCGGGAAACAGCATCTTGCAGCCTCAGCAGATTGGAGACGCATCCTTCGCAGCCCCTATGCACTCAACTCGACTAGCGCTGCGCATCTCAAAGCCTTGCTCGTTCTGTGGATGTACCTGAAGCATGCTATGTCTGCTTACATAAGACCAAAACCTTTGATTACAAATCGAGAATAAGGCCATGAATGAAAGCCCTGTAAGGCCCTCCAGTAATCTCCGCAACCCCCCCCCCCCCC